TTGTCTCATTTCCATGCAATTGTGAATTTTCCAGTTCCCTCCTTTATTGATTTCTGACTAGATTCTACTATAACTGTAGTAGAACCTTGATATGAATTCAGTCCTCTTAAGTAAATTTAGTAAGATTTATGATTTAACACACTGGAGAACATGTGTTCTTGGAAGGAACATGTAGCCTGCTGCTATTGAATAAGACATTCTATATGTGTGGGGAAGACATGTAATCGGATACTGTTGAATGTAACATTCTACATGTGTGGGATGACCATGTAGCCTGCTGCATGTTGACATTCTGTATGTGTGTACTAGTGTCACTATTGTTCAGATCTGCTGCACCTTTACTGTTTTACTGTCGTTGTAACTAGATAAGAACTCCCTGTCTTCATCTTCGAATTTTCAGACGTTCCCAAGACTAGAATCCTATCACAGTAGGAGAGCTGAGCTGAATAAAGATGTGGGGTGAAGTAAGGAGCCCTCCGAAAGAAGATGGTAAGTCGGGGTATGTGCTTCACTGCCAAACGTGTAGTTGGCTCTGTGCCTTTGTCCCTGTTCTACAAAACCAGCAACATCCTAAATGATGACTTTGTAGAGCCCAGAACGAAGATGCAGAACAGGCTAAAGCTGACCCATTGTTGCTACGGCACTGTGAGCACACAGTCTTTGGTATCCAGAGGACTTTCACAGCCTCTTTGTAATCTATATCACGTTAACCATGTACATGTCTTACTCTCTGCAGTTCCACAGAGGCAGACTGTGTCTCATCCCACCTGTCTTCCCTGTACCATGCGCATAATAAACATACAAGTACTAAGAAATGAGGAAAACTTTCTGAATTTTTATCTGTATAATAGAGAGTTGGGGTTGTCAACAAATCCTAGCTCTCCAGAATTTCAAAAATAAAGTGTTTCTTGTTTCCTCCCCAAACACCCACTTACCAAAGCTTTGCTTTTTTCTCTGAATTTTCTCTCTTACAAGAGAGGAGGCTTTTATTCATGATTAGACACCTTCACAGGACTACAAGAACTCCTTAAAGTTTAGAATCCTGGTGCTATTGGTCCATATGGGCAAAAAATTAAATATTAAGATGCCTTATCTCTCTCTGAGTGATGATTCCCATCTCCACCACTATTTGTGCTGTTCAGAGACCATCTCAAGTTGCTTCCAAGAAAGAACTGCTTTGAGAATGAACCTCGTAATTAAACAGTAATTGAAAGTTCCTGTGGTTTTATGCCTGGGTCATACCTAGTGCCTAAGGAAATGAATTACTGAGGAAGGTTAGAGCTAACATGGGGTTCAGCTAATTCATTACCCAAGTATTTTGTCCATCTGGGTCAGGTGGTGTGTTAGAAGCCTCACCAGTGAAAGAAAACACGCAACCATCTCCTTTCTTACAGCCCCTGTGTTCTGGTGTGTTTTCTGTTGTCTGTGAACCTGTGTGTTCTGGTGTGTTTTCTGTTGTCTGTGAACATGTGTGTTCTGGTGTGTTTTCCTGTTGTCTGTGAACATGTGTGCTCTGGTGTGTTTTCTGTTGTCTGTGAACATGTGTGTTCTGGTGTGTTTTCTGTTGCCTGTGAACATGTGTGCTCTGGTGTGTTTTCTGTTGTCTGTGAACATGTGTGTTCTGGTGTGTTTTCCTGTTGTCTGTGAACATGTGTGTTCTGGTGTGTTTTCTGTTGTCTGTGAACATGTGTGTTCTGGTGTGTTTTCTGTTGTCTGTGAACATGTGTGTTCTGATGTGTTTTCTGTTGCCTGTGAACATGTGTGTTCTGGTGTACTTTTCTGTTTGGTGATAAAATATTCTAACCAAAAGCAATCTGAGGAGGAAATTGTTTATTTCACTTCACACGTCACAGTCCATCTTGAGGGAACTCAAGACAGGAACCGGGAGGCAGGAGCTGAAGCAGGAAACGTAGAGAAGAGCTACCGACGGGCTGGCTTTCTATGGCTTACTCAGGCTGCCTTCTCATTCAACCCAGAACTACCTGCCCAGGGGGGGCGCCACACACAGTGGGCTGGACCCTCTCACATCAATCACTAATCAAGGAAATATTCCGACAGACTTCCCTATCAGCAATCTGAGAAGGGTTTCCCACCAAACCTGGTGCTGATCCATTCAGCTAAGCCAGCCAGCCAACTGATGTGATGATCTTTTTATTTGTGTGAGTGTTTGACTGCATGTCTGCTGCCAGAAGACGGCATTGGGTCCCCTGGAATTAGAGTTAGAGATAGCTGTGAGCCGCCATGTAGACGCTGGAAACTGAACCCAGGTCCTCTGCAAGAGCAGCCAGTGCTTTTAACTGCTGAGCCTTCTCTCCAGCCCCGTGATGTGATTTTTAAAAAAAAGAACAAATGTACTTTTATTACATTTTGCCTTTTTTTGCCTGACAATATGTGCCCACTGGTACGATAGTGGAATGGGTGTTATGGGGACAACCAACCACTTTATGAAAGTAAAAAGAGAAAATTCTGGAGGGGACTCAGATGAAGAGAGGGTTAAGAGAGAGTAATGGGGTTGAATGTGTTCAAAATACACCACGTACAAGTGTGAAAATGCCATAATGAATACCAATATTAATTATGCATAATCATTAATTATGTATAATTAATATGTGCTACTAAAAACAAAATAACTTTAAAGGAAGTGGAAACCTGGGAAGGTAGAGTTGCTTTACTAGGGTCACAAGCAGACAGGGAGATAACCAGAGGACTTAGGAGATAAAACCTCTTCAGAGTAAAGAAATGTGCGTGGGGAGGGGAAAGCAATGGGGAAGGGAAGAGGGGAGTGACTGAGGTTGGCATGTAAAATGAAAAATGATTTTTAAATAAAAAATTTAATAAAAAGAAAAATAACTATGTGCTGGTGTTGGGGATAAACGGAGCTCACTGAGAAAGAGAAATGTGGAGGACAGGTGAGTTCACTCTGTGACATTTGAACGTGAAGCGTCTGTAGATGATCCAAAAGGCGCTGTCAAGCAGACAATCGAATGCTATAAGCTTGAAGCTGAGGTAACAGGACAAGTAAAAGAGGCTTAGGGGCCATCAGGCTTTCCAGGGTGTTTGAAACAACCCTGGGAAGGGGGAGGGCAAGAAGGAGAGCTCAGAGAGGGAGTAGCTCTGGCACCACAAAGTGCCACCTACAAAACAAAGAGGAGTCTGGAAGGCGCCTTCAAGCGAGTGACAAGGAAGATAAGTGGGTATCTATAAAGGATGAGAGGCGGGGTTCGGAGAGAGAAAGGTGCTCAGCAATTGGAGCACAGGTAACCATTTTGTTTCCCCCACTTTCTTGAACAAACTCGACTTCCAGAGACACAGTGAGTCTGGGAAACAGACTAACAGACTTGGTCCCCAGGCTCCTCTACAGCCCAGACACATCTGCCAACGGAAGCAGATAGCTGTGCACTTGGGGATGACGGAAAAGCTACCTCTTTCCTGGCCCAAATGGCCGCACAGCTGGCACCTCGCGTTAGACCTCTGCTTTTCTCGTTTCTCCCTTCTTGAGTGGCTGGGCACCCAGAAGAGCAGCAGCAATTTAACAAGCTTGACTACAAAAGACACGCGATACACACCAGCATAAAAGCGAGAAGAAGCCTGGCTTCTGGTGACCCTGGTTGAGGTGAGAAACCAGGGGACCCGCCTTGGCTCTTCTCCCTGCCTCAAGCCAGGGTGCTCCAGCCCATCAGTAATCACCCTTTAGACCCTCTTCTTCCAGGCACCTCTCCCGGCTTGGGATCCTTCTGGCCCTGTCCCATTTTGCCTGGCTTCATGAACAAGTCTCCAAGCCACCGGACTCACACCCTCTAACCTGCTGGCACCGTCTGTCAAAAACTCCAACACTTGTATTAGCCTCTGCCTAGGTCCTCCCACTGTTCTTCACGCCATAGTGGGCAAAGCCAAACGTCCTCAGCTACGGACAGGTCTTAGAAGATTTGGCTCCTGCCTCGCGTGTTGAGAGCACTATGATCGCCCAGTATGAAAAGAAAAGAGTGTATATCTCAACGCATTTGAACACGCACCAAAGCCATGTACTAGGAACTTTACGTTTATGTAATAGTCACCGTGTTGGTTCAGGCATCTCGTGTTAATAGTTTCCTGACGATTGTTTCTCAGAAAGGCGATATCACTCACTCTGGTATACACGGTCAGCTTAGTTGGAGAAGGCTTGGGAATCAAAATTATTTCCCCCAAATCAGAGCTTCAGCATGAAAGAATGTGCATTTTGCCCTCCTAATTCTTCTCCTCTGCCTTAAACGGACCAGGTGAAGAAACGCGACCACACGCAGTCTTCCCTTGGGGCCAGAGAAGCCTGTAAGCTTCGGTGGACCCTGGACTGAGGCTGACAAGACAGAACAAAGCACAAAGCCACAGCAGCAGGTGACCCTCCACACCAAGGCCTCTCCTGCCGGCTACCTGGGCGGCCCTGAGTGAGGATCGGAACCCCCTGTCTTCCTTGCCCAACTCGGTGCCTTTGGAACCACGATTGTGGAAGTGAATTTCCAAGGCCAGCTCTGTCAAGTGCAGTGGAGGAGACTCTGGTGACTCCTAGGACCTGGAGGCTTCAGTGTTCCCACAGCTGGGCACACTCCAGGGGCACTCAGGTCAGGTGGGAGCAGACTGCAACCCTGCTCCTTCGAGGACACCTTGTGCCTCAAGGAGCAGCCAGGGAGAGGGACAGGAGCAGCCCCAGAGCACCTGGCTGCTGTCGGGGCAGAGGCATCGCTTAGATCTGGAATTGGCCAAGAGAGTGAATCCCCATCTTCATCTCCCGCTGGCCCCCGAGCACTCGGACCCTGAATTTGGAACCCAGACTCGGACACCGCACCAGCTGTCCCGTGGGCTAGACGATCCGCGATCCCGCTAAGGGCAGCGGCACGGACGCTGAGCCGAGCCACCCGCCCACAGCAGCGGGACTGGAGTCCCCCGCCGCCCGCTTCTCGCGGCCTCCAGGCTCTGAACCCCTCGCGCCCCCGCGCGTCCATCTCTGTTCCCAGAGCCGTGCGAGTGATGTAAGGCGGACAGGCTCGCGCGCTTTCCTCCTGCCGGGACGGAGTCCTCCCTCCCCGCCCGCAGCGCCGTGCGCCCCCTCTTCCAGCTGTGCCCAGGATCCGCTTCCAGAGCCCCGGAGACCTGCACGCCCAGCGCGAGGCTGGGAAAGACCCTCCTCCCCTGTCCCACCTCCCACCTTCGGTGTGCAGAGTCGGTGAGGGAAACCAAGCTTGGCTCTCGGAACCCAGGGAGAGAACCAAGGGACAGCGCATACGAAGGTTTCTGGAGACATTCAGACTTTCCCCATTCACCGGAGGTGGCAGGAGCCTTCAGGTAACTCGGTGGCCCTACTTGGTGCACGTTGATGTAAGACAGGGTTGCAATAGTGAATGTGGAGGGCAGAGGTTGAAAAGAGGGAAGGAGGGAAAGAGGAGAGAGAGAGAGAGAGAGAGAGAGAGAGAGAGAGACAGAGACAGAGACAGAGACAGAGACAGAGACAGAGACAGAGACAGAGACAGAGACAGAGAGACAGACAGAGAGAGAGACAGACAGAGAGACAGAGAGAGAGACAGAGAGAGACAGAGAGAGACAGAGAGAGGCAGAGACAGAGACAGAGAGACAGAGAGACAGACAGAGAGAGACTGAGAGAGTCAGGGATAGCAAGAAAGAGTTGGTGGTTGGGAAGTTGGGTTGTAGTGAATTTTTTTAACCCTGTGGGTTTGCCTACCACAGAAGAGAGACGAGGTGCTCCTTGGCTACCAAGCAGCCCCCAACCCTGAATGGAGTGAAAGATGCGGCCTGATGACATAAATCCTAGGACTGGGCTGGTGGTGGCCCTGGTCAGTGTTTTTCTGGTCTTTGGCTTCATGTTCACTGTCTCTGGCATGAAGGGGGAAACTCTGGGGAACATCCCTCTGTTGGCCATCGGGCCAGCCATCTGCCTACCAGGCATCGCAGCCATTGCTCTGGCCAGGAAGACCGAAGGATGCACCAAGTGGCCAGAGAATGAGCTACTATGGGTCCGCAAGCTACCCTGTTTCCGGAAGCCCAAGGACAAGGAAGTTGTGGAACTGCTGAGGACCCCCTCAGACCTGGAGTCCGGCAAGGGGAGCTCAGATGAACTGGCTAAGAAGGCAGGCCTCAGAGGGAAGCCGCTCCCACAGGGGCCAGGTGAGGTGCCGATGGCCAGCTCCATTACCACCCCCACCCCCACAGAGGAAGGAGAATGCCAGAGTCTAGTCCAGAGTGGGCGTCAGGAGGAGACGTCCAGATATCTGGATGGTTACTGCCCCTCAGGCAGTTCCCTCGCCTACAGTGCCTTGGACGTCAAGGGCTCAGCCTGGGACAGGGCTGACCGCCCTGAGCCTGAGGACAGCATCTTTTTTGTGCCCCAGGACAGTATCATCGTTTGCTCCTACAAGCAGAACAGCCCCTATGACAGATACTGTTGCTACATCAATCAGAGCCAAGGCAGGTGGGACCACGAGACAATAGTCTGATCTGGGCATACAAGGGTCCCATGCTGACAGACACATTGCTACACTCAGCTCGCAAAGGAAGAAAATCTCTGCTCCAACAACCTTCACACTATTAGAAACTGGCATGGTATGTGATGGGGTGCAGACCTCTGGTGCCTGATACTGTGTAAATAGGCATGTGGGGGCATATTTTAGGGAGGTACTGAGAATTGCTTCTCTTTAAGGAAGAGGCAATAAATAGGAAAGAAAGTTCCATTTGCTTCTGAACAATTTAAACAATGTCAAATGTTTTGTAAAACAGCCCCCAACGTGCTAGGAAGCCCCTGGTGACAGCCAGGGGCGTCTAGAGTGAGCCAGGAATCAAATGATGCAGGGCTTTCCACACAGAGGCTGCCTGCTTAGTGTCTGAAGAAAGTGAAGGGACATTTTGTGTTCCTTTATACGAAATGAGTTTTGCCTGTTAAAAAGCTTTGCACATATGGTAATCGATGAAAGAAATAAAAATCAATATAATAGGTAAACCCTCCTTCGATGGGATGGATTTTGGAGGAAGGGGAGTTAAAAATAGTTGGAATGTATAATTGAGTCCTGGTTTCTGACAAGATCATGGTTTCAGATAAAGTGTTGACTATGTTATGTGAAAAGTTAGCATTTTAAGTGGTTATGTTAATTCTTAAACTCATTTGGGTTGATTTGCTGGGACTTTATTTGAAGTTTTTAAATGTTTATTAACACTCACCAGGTGCAAAATGACTTGATGTAATATTTTCATAGATTAGAATTTCTTTTATCAAGACAAAACAAATTTTACATATATATCTCAAAGTGTCCTCAACATTTCTGAGAGGCATGTAAAACATGAAACTACAGAGTTTCAATTAATTAATCCTGAACAGTATGAAAAATTGAAAAATGTGTATGAAATGCAATGGTCAAGAGTTTGGAAATGCTGCCTTTGTACATTTATTCATCAACCTCCGACCCCTGACAATGACTGTAAATGTCAATGAAACAAGAGTTAATTTATAAGATTTACCTGAAGCTCATAGTTTATTAAGTTTACTGAATCAGTGAAATTTACATGATAAAAATCTCATTATTTCCTACTATTTTTGTGGCTGAGAGAAGAGACACCAGAGTGGTATTTATTTCCTGTTTCTCTTGCTTAGTTGCAGCAGATAAAAAGAATCATCAACTGAAATGTCATTTTAGCCCTCTTGTAGAGTAACTGCATTTATGGGAATGGTGATATATTTATTCTTGAGAGTTAGGATTATTTTATACCCTTCAGTGAGTTTTGATTCTAATTATTATACCAAATAGTTGTAGTCATTTTCTCCCAAAAGGTGAATTGAGGACAAAAAATTGGGGGGGGGCTTGTCTCTTTTATGTATTTCAAGTTCAACTCTGTGGTTCTTAAGTCATCTGTCCTGTCTTAAGAATTATGCTCTTAAAAGTCATAATTCTTGAATGATGTTTAAGATCAAAAGCATGTCATCTTTTTAGTCAGGTCTCAAGTTTGGGAAATGAGATGTGTGATCTTGGACAAAGTTCATCTTCTGACACCTCAGTTTCCTACTCTGTGGAAGAGGAATGGGCAAAAGACTGATTTACACTAAGTTATTTCCATCAGTCATTCCCAGGTAGGATAGTCTAAAATATTAAATCAAAGGAACTGTATGTTGCAGGAAGTAAGCTACAGCAAAATGCATGCCCATGTTATGCAATACATGATTAAAACCATGCCATGTGGATTAAATTGCTACTACTTAAAAGAATTTTGTAGATATATGAAATCAGATGTATTCTCTTATTAAATATTATTTATTAGACACCAATATATTCCTGTGCATAAAACTGAAAATATTAAGATTTTTTGAAGAAAAAAATGTTTTAAACTCAATGGATCCCAAAGCAATCTGTCATACAGCTTTGTACTCCATGTAACTCTAGAAGTGGTGGTGAGGGGTAGTTTCCTAAAATCACAATATTCTGTTTTGAAAGCAGAAAACAGTATTTATATAGAGATTATTGGAAATGCTTACAGTAACAAAAGTTTCCCCCGTGTGCTTGCCACTGGTGGCATTGTCAGAAGAAGCAAGGCGGATAGATAGGCAGATGTTTGTTGGGGCTCTTACACGGGTCTGAGGGGAGAGGACTGGAGTGTCCACTAAGGTTTAGAATTTTTCACATAATATGTACATCTGTGCCCAGAGTCCCATTTCCAAATCAAGGGTCAAATGCTGACTTAGATATATAAACTGTTTTTAATCACATTTTCAAGTTGTATTTCAGAAAAAATTCTTCCATTTACCCATTTAAAATACAAAAGCCATCTAAGTATACATCTATGGGTTCATTTTCCCGTGCTAAAAGGATGATTTTCAGATGTTGGGCTGAGAGATTTAACCTTCTTTACCCAAAGAATAAAATGTGAGTTGTAACTTGTGTGGATTTTTCTTATCCTCTTCCAGTGAGCTACCTCCTCCTCTATGCTGCTAGGCAGTCTGTGTCCTAATCAACACTGTAAGTACTGTTCTGGGTAAACCTGTTGTTCTTTTGAATAGAGGTAGAAGAAAGGCGACTAAAGTGTCCTAAGTCCTAGGAGGAAAAGAGAACATGCCATTTATTCAAACCAATGGCCTTAGGAAATTACTAATATTAACATAAGAAGCAAGAGGCTTGTTCCTGGAAGCCCTTAAGAACTCCCAAACTGATATACATTGAAATAGGCACCAGTTTCTTTGCTATTAATTCAAATCCTCATTTTCTACTTGATGTTAAATAGGCGTTTCACTTTTGAAATTTCTCTTGCTCTGTCTCCCTACTTATTAGGAATACAGGCTCCTTTCCCATCTGCCTATTTCTTGATTCCTAATGTGAATTCTGCCAAGATACACAAGCTGGAGCACACTGGACAACTGTTTCAAGATTGACTCTCAATCGCAACCATCTTGGGGGAGGGATCCAAATACAGTTAGGTTCCGGCTGGCTCTCTTCCAGTTCTGCCTGTCAACCTCTCTGAAATGTTTTCAGTACTGAGGCTTAGCATCCACTGAGTTGACAAACATGGAAGAGGAGGGTGAGTCCTTTAATGATGTTTCTCTTCCACAAGTTCTAGTCTCTGCTTATTAGTGATAGCCCTCTGTGCCCACGGCATTGACTACTGGGAACATTCACTGTCTTTACCACCATTATAGTTATTTTTTGCTGGGCATGACAGTCACGGTTCTGTTATCCCAGGACCTGGAAGGGGAACAGAGGCAAGGGCATCAAGAGCTCAGAGTCATCCTCAGTATGAATTGGGGGATAGCCTGGTCTGCATGAGACCCTTTTGAAACAAAAAAGCAACTACTTTTGAGAATTCAGATTCGTAGTATTCCAACAGAACTACTTTACTTCTGTCTTGCCAACTCATCTTCCAGTCCTTGTCCACAAGCATACACAGTGTAATGATTATAGCAATCTGCTTATTTTTTTTAGCAGCCTGCTTTTATCTGTCTTTTCTCCCTTAAATAATCCCTGGGCTTGCTTTTCCCTTTCTTTACATTATTCCTAATCATCAGCTAATAGCTGTGCAATATGCCATTTTGGTGGTTTCATAATCCATCATGCCATTCTTTATTGCTAACCACATATAAAGTATTATCGGTGCCTTTACCATACGGCCACGGAGATGAAAACTTACTATTGAAAGGCTGTCTGCTTGCAGAGGGGGCAGAAATGAGTAACTGTTTACATTGCCGCTCAAGCGTCTCTTCACACGTGTGGCTCTAAGATGCAGAGAGGAGGGCAGCGCGCGCTGCTTCTCAGAACTAGATTATAACAAGGTCAGCCTTCAAACACACCACGTCCAGCAAGCAAAATAATAAACAAATAGACCCAATTGATGGCAATTTCTAACATTCCAAAGAATTTCTCTTGAAGTACTTCTCTATATATTTTATACTTCATATGTGTGTGTGTAGTCATAACTTATAAATGAACTGAAACTTTAGGAATTCAGCTAACTCTACCCAGGACGTCTCTGTGTTTCAGTTCCTAACAACAACAAAGCAAAGCAACTAAAGGGAGGACGGAAGCGTGTAAATGTTTGAAGCTCAACCAAAAATCTCAATGAAGGCTTGCATCCTAGTCAGCTTCTAGTCAACTTGACACAGAAGCATGTAAACACTGTTTGCCAGTTTTCTGTTACCCTGGCAAATTACCTGAGAATACAACCAACTTATAAAGAGGAAAGATTATAGTCAATTTATATATATATAAAAATCACAGTTTTGGAGGTGTCAGTCCAAGGTTGGGTGGGCCCATTGCTTTGAGACCTGTGCCAAGGTGCCCAACACGACAGGGTTCAGACAACACTGTAAAACTTCCCTTGTGTCTGTCTGGGATGGATGGAAGTGGGGGGAAGAGGCTGGGGTCCCCATGGCCCTCTGGTGGCGTGTCCCCAGTGACTGGAAGACCTCACACCATACCTCTCCAAGCTCCCAGCACCTCCTAATAGCACCAAGTGGGGGAAATCAAGCCTCTAAAGTGTGGGGTTTGGGGGGAGAGTAGAGTGGGGGTCATTGCAGATCTAATCTACAGCAAGCACCACTGAGAGCTAATGGGCCTTTCACAAGGTTTCATTCAACAGGCTCCCAACAAAAAGCCTGTTCAGGTTGGGCTCACTCGCCCAGGAGTCTTTGGATTGTAAGTATTTTAGATTTTGGAGTTACTAGATTTGGGGATTTTGCTAAGACTTTATTAGGCAAGCTTCCCTAACCCCAAATTCTAAAGGTGAAATGTCACAAAATGTAAAATTTCTTGAAAGTCATGTCAGTACTGTGAAAGTTTCCTATGTAGAGCACTTGGGAGGCGGTTTTTTTAATTAGGAGTCCTCTACCTGGGCATCATACTCACCAGATACACAAGACCGGTGTGGACCCAGTCTCCAGTCTGAGTTGCTCCTGAGTTTAGTTGTTCTAGAGGTTTTTTCTCTCATCCCTCCTTCTGACCCCACGTTAGAACTCACCCATCTCCGTATCCTTGGTAACAGTGCGAAGCTTTGCAGGCTGGAGGTAAAGTTACAGAATGGATCAGTTATTAAACACAACACTTTGTGTTGTGTTTAACATCTCATATTCTCTTTGACACACCTGTCAAATCTGAAAGTTAAATGCAAAGACGTTTTTTTTGCAATCGATCACTTCTTATTTTCATAGAAATAGGCAACTGCACATAAGTCTTAAGCCCGAGGCAAAAGCACATGAAGAAAACTGGGCTTTGAAACTCATCTGACTATGTATAACCCAGCAGTCAGAGTACAGGCAGTCACCTGCTATGCTAGCCAGTAGAACACCGGAACAACTCTGAAAGACCCGCTCTGATTACTCTGTCTACTCCCTCAAGCCCTATAGGGCAGCTTCCTTTATTTAAACGCATTTTAAATTTTTTATTTATTTTGGCATCTTTGGTCTCACTCATTTTTTGTTTGTTTCTTTTTTGTTTGTTTGTTTTTTCGAGACAGGGTTTCTCTGTGGCTTTGGAGGCTGTCCTGGAACTCGCTCTGTAGACCAGGCTGGCCTCGAACTCACAGAGATCCACCTGCCTCTGCCTCCGGAGTGCTGGGATTAAAGGTGTGCGCCACCAACGCCCGGCTTTCTTTTGATTTTTTTTTTTAGAGAAAAAAAGTGAGGTTGAGTGGATTTGGGGGTGGAGAGGCTCTGGGAGGCGTTGGGGGAAAATATATAAGATATATCGTATGAAGAGATATTTTACTTTTAAAAACTGGGTAATAAGATAAAATGTATTTGGTGTGGTGGGAACAGTGCAGGCATGCCATGGCACACCTATGGAGGTCAGAGGGCAATGTGGAAAGTCAGCTCTGTCCTTCCACCATGTGGATCCTGGGGATCAACTCATGTCAACGGGCTTGACAGCAAGTGCCTTTACCCACAGAGCAAGTGCTGGCCCCTGCAACAGCTTCTTGACTTCCTGGCTATAGCCTGCAGCTGACCACTGGAGCCTTTGTCTCAGAGCTCCCTGGGGAAAGGGATGATAATTGGTTCATCTTTTCTCCACCTTTCCCTCTAAAATGCATCCTGCCTTGCTCAGTGAAAACTCCAAATTGCACCATTTAGTCACACGAAAGGACTATTTCCCTTTTTATATTAAATATAATCAGCGATAATGTGGACTAAAATAGGCTTCTGTGGGTCGAGATTCTAATTTCTATTTGGTGTATGGTTTCCCTGGAGGAACTGCATCTCACATAACAAGAGGAGACACACCCTTCAGCACATCTCCCTTCCCTCCATGGTAGAGCTAACCCCCATGGCCTGATGTCTGTGGTTGCACCAAACCCGTAACAAGAACTGGTGATTCTCGGAGCATGTGAAAACCACTCTCAAATTCAGTCAGAAACAAAAGTAAATCAGTGTTCATCGTGTGAATATTGCAAGTATGTAAACAAAATAGAATTCCTGGCATCGGCTGCTGTCCCTCTGCTAAATTCCCTCTCAGACAATGTTTACCAGGAGCTTCAAGGTAAACTGGCTTCTCTCAGGTCCATAGTGGGGAGCTGAGCCCTCACCCACCCCCTATCCTCATCCCCCGCCTCTCTGCTCCCCACACCCACTCCCCATCCCCATCCCCCACCCCCACCTTTCCACCCCATTCCCCACCACCCCCCATTCCCAACTCCCAGGGAAGTTCTCTTTCTCCACACCGAGACTGTGGTTTGTGTTTCTGAGAAACTCATCTGTTCTGGGACAGGATGATGGCATTGTCAGCAAGTTCCATGAGCGCTATTTAAAGCCAGTCTTAATAACTTCTAACCTATATACTTTGTCTTGTGAATTCCCCACTATCTGAATAGATAAAACCGTATTGAATAACACTTTTCCTGAGCCATAGTGATCACTGAGATTTGGAACACTACAAGACATCCTTTGAATATGAGGAAAGTTTGTGTTAGAAACTCCAGCCCTGTAGCAGGACATCCGACACAGGATTATTTGTTTGGGTTCCTGTTTTCCGAGGTCTAGACCCACCATGGTGTAGAGGGCACCACGTATCAAGGCGGCCAGAGGACAGAGAGATAACATCTGCCTTATCCACTCTCTCCTCTCCTTCAATGCCCTTCTAACCCCAGCCAATGGGATAGCACCTGGCACACTCAGAATTGATACTCTCCCTTAATCATCTCTAAAACTGCTCACTGACATGCCAGAAGCAGGCTTCCCTATTCTCCCAGGCGCCCCAGCAACCAGTAAATTTACTATCACAATTAAGCACCAGAGAGGCAAAGGAAGATTGTACAGGGCTCTCAGCTAAGAGAGAGCCAGCAAAACCTAGAAAGAAAGCTGATCGCTGCCAGTGTCTGTCCCCTGAGCTGCCTAGATCACCACTTCTCACGCCAGAAGACAGACTGAGAGATAAATCTAAATGCTTCTAAGGTGCA